TGGCCCGGGGCCAGGCCCAGGCGCGAGGAGGCCGCCGGGGACCCCACACGGGTGAGCCCAAAGCAGAGGGAGCAGCCCCCTCCCAGCCGCCTCGCAGCGGGGGGCGTGAGACGGAGAGGGGTCAGCTGCGCAGGCCCAGCTGAGCCGTCCAGGCCCCGTGGCCCCCGGCCAGCCGGCACCCCCGAGACCGGCGTCCATTCCCAAGCTGCAGGAGCTGCAGCAGCAGGAACGGGCTGGGGACACCGACGGGGTCACTGCAGGCTGGCCTGGGCCTCCCAAGGCCGGGCCTGGGAAGGGCCACTGGGAAGCCCCCAGGGGGACCTGGGAGCGGGGGCAGCAGGTGGCACGTCCAGACCTGCCCGGTCAGGACAGCCCTGCGGACGCTCGTGTCCAGGGCCACCAGTGTCCAGAGGGCGCAGGCCGGGGCGCCCTGCTGAGGGGAGCCGGAGCGGGGGCGGGCGGGGGCTGTGGCCAAGGCCCGGCCGTCTGCGGGCTCGAGGCCCGGGGCTGCACTGCCCAGGACACGGGGAGCCCACGGTGACCGCCCGGCTGTGACCGCCCGGCCCCGCCCTCCCTCCCTCGTCCCAGCGAGGAAGTCACAGCCGCACCCCGCCCGGGGCGCGCGGGCAGAGGGCCCTTCCTGTCCGCAGCCCCGTGGCAGGGCGCCCGTGCTCCGGGGGTGACAGAGGGGGCCCCATAGGGCCGCAGAGCAGGAGGCCCCGTGCCCACTGCACCCCAGCGCCGAGTGTGGGGCAGGAGCCCCGCGGCCGCCGCTGCCCACCAGAGAGGCGCCCGGCGCACTCCGGCCGCGGGCAGGGCTCCCTGTGGCCAGCGGTGGGCCTGCCCCTGGGGCCCGGCCACCCCGGAGCCTCCAAGTGCCCACAGGTGACACCCTCCTGTCAGACAGGGCCCTGCCCGCTGCTCCCCTCAAGAGGGAAACGGGAAATGCCTGAAGCCAGCTCTCCTCCAGGCACACCCCGGGGAGGGGGGGACCCCCCCCCCCAGGAGCCCCGCAGGGGGCCAGCTGACACCGCACAGC